ACTAAAGGCTCTGTTAGTAGTTTAGCATTTTAAAATTAAATTATCAAATTAATTATCAATAAGTAATTAACTAAGTTAATACATATTTCTAAATCGAGTTAAAAGTTTTATTAACTCTAAAAGTAAAAATACAATTTATTGTCCATTTTTTATATTTTATTATATTGTTATATTCGAAATCAGAGCTAGTACAACTAAACACTAAACGAAAAAAAAAGGTAGTAAATTTTTTTAAAACGCCAATAATAAGATAAACCACAAAAATAAGGTAACCCTGAAAACCGGTTTTTCGTTGCCATCGAGAAGATAGGACCTTCACTTCCTCTTACGGGTTCCTTATATCTACGGCACTATCCAATCAAGACGTAGAATGAGTGGCCCCACAGATAGCAATTGGAAACAGACAAATGGGCACTCATGCATTCCATCTAACTGTAAAATTCAATTGCACCGGTGCTTTCTTTTACAACTAAACTTAGCTTGTTCCTTTCGTGCTCCGATTTACCACGTTTTTTGTGGATAAGTGATGGAATTTCAAAAATTATAAATAATAATATTTTCTAAATAGTTATTTGATTTAAGTTTAATCATGGCACATTATAATTTTAAAAATATTGTGTGTGTTCCAAATGCAAAGGTATGATTCATTAATTTAATTTACATGGATTTTTAAAAGTTTTATCTATGTGCTTACTATTTTCTGTCTCTTTTTTTTTAGGAATTCACTGATATAATTTTGTCAAAAACACAAAGAAAAACTCCTACTGTCGTCCACAAGCAATATAAGATATCTAGAATTCGTCAGTTTTATCTGAGAAAGGTTAAATTTACTCAGCAAAATTTTCATGATAAAATAACCCAAATTTTGACTGATTTCCCAAAACTAGAGGTAATTTTACTTTTCACTTATTTATTGATCATAAAATTTTTTTTAACGATATTTTAAATCTTTAATTTGTGGGGCACTGAATATTCTATTTTTCAGCTTTCATGGCTGTTAAATTTGCACATCTGTGCTATATAAATAGATCAGTTGAATTGCTAAGTTTCATTAGCATTCATTTGGTCTAACATTTTAATTTTTATACTCTTTTAGTTCTAGTAAGTCACTGTGTTTTTATTTGCGAAATCATGGCTCATAATTTAAGAATTAAAGCAAATTTTCATGATAAGATAACCTAAATTTTTACTGATTTCTCTAAATTAGAGGTAATTTTACTTGTCACTTATTTATTGATCATAAAAAAATTTTTTAACGATATTTTAAGTCTTTAATTTGTGGGGCACTGAATATTCTATTTTTCAGCTTTCATGGCTGCTAAATTTGCACATCTGTGCTATATAAATAGATCATTTGAATTGCTAAGTTTCATTAGCATTCATTTGGTCTAACATTTTAATTTTTATACTTTTTAAGTTCTTGCAAGTCATTGTGTTTTTATTTGCGAAATCATGGCACATTATAATTTTAAAATGAAAGCAAAATCAGGGGTCTGTCTAGGCTGAATTAACTATCTTCGGTACCTTCACAAAATCAACTTTAGGAAAAACCTAAGTTTCACAAAATACTTTTTCTTAAAATTTTATTTTTGTATCCATTAAGAAATGATAAATCCATATTTTGAACATATTTTTGTGTTGATTTTTTAATATAATTTTTAATTTTTCACAAATTATGTCTAAATTTTCACAAAATAGGTATCTCTCAATAACCTAGACAGACCACTGAAAATTTTCACGATAAAATAACCCAAATTTTGACTGATTTTTTAAAATGAGAGGTTATTTTGCTTTTCACTAATTTACTGATCGTAAAATTTTTTTAACAATATTTAAAGTCTTTTTTTTAATTGCGGAACACAGAATATTCTATTTTTCAGCTTTCATGGCTGTTAAATTTGCACATCTGTGCTATATAAATAGATCATTTGAATTGCTAAGTTTTATTAACATTCATTTGGTCTAACATGTTAATTTTTATAATTTTTTAGTTTTTGTAAGTCAATGTTTTTCTTTTTGATAAATTTGATATTTCAAAACCAAGACTTTCATAGTATTTCAGTGTATTGAGCTGATTTAACTACAATACATAAAAGCAGCAGGAATATGTTGGGATAGAAACTGGTAAATCAGTAACTATGGAATGTAATAATGTATGCATGATAGTTGCTTATTGCTTTCAACAAATACATCCCAAGAGGTGTGATGTATTTCTTATAGATACATATAATGAAAGACCTAAGGTTCCATATTATAAACATATTAAAATAGTTTTATATTAGTATTTATAAAAAAAAATTTTATTACAACATAAGATGGAGCTGAACAGATTTATATATTAATCAATATTATGAGTCAAAATATCTTATAAAAATACTCAAACTTAACATCATAATTTCATTTATTAAAAATCATTGATGAGAAATTTTGGTAATTATTACATTAATGTAGTATCCTGTTGATTTATGGAAAAAAATCCATTAAGTACCTGTATTTTAAAAAGGAAATTTTGTGCTATGTAGGCATAGAATATATATATTTTAAAATCTTTTTTTGTTAAATGTCCAACACATGCGTAACATTTCTTTTAATTAACGTAACTTTTCTTAGTAATTATTAAATTATTTTGCACAATTATTTCTTTCATTTTCTATTTTATAAACATTTTAGGAAATCCATCCATTCTTTGCTGATTTGATGAATGTTTTATATGATAAAGATCATTACAAATTAGCCTTAGGTCAATTAAATACTGCAAGACATCTAATAGATAAGTAAGTGTGATTTATTTTATCTTGACTATCTTATAACCAAACTTTTCTCAATCTGCAATATTTAAAAAAATGCTTATTTTAAATGAAATATAACAGGTTTGTAATCAATGATATTGTGTTTTTTACTTTTTTTTCTGAATTGACATTTTAGGAAAAAAGCATTGAAAAAGTTAATAGTTGTACGGGAGAAAATTTCTGCCTAAAAAGATTTTTGAGTCAAATTGACACATGATAAACTAAAAGAAAAAATTATAACATAATAAGAAATATGTGGAAAGAGAAAATAACTGGGTATAATTCTTAATAAACAGTGTGGTCAAGGTTGAATTAGCCTTTCACCCATTCAGTGGGACTATAAAAATAGTACCAAGTATGCTTGGTGTCTAGACATCTCTGAAGAGTTTTATGTTCTACTGACTACTAGTTCCTATAACACAAAGTTCTAAGTCAAGAAAACTGTAAGGTTGTTGAGCTACCAAGTTTAGTAACTAAACTTGGTAGCTAATAGTTAACTTTAATAAGTACCTGTATGATAACATTTATAAAATTGCTTGTATACCAATGTTTATTTTCTACTTATTTATTTTGCTAATAAGCACATTTAAATTAATCATTAGACATTGTTTAAACATATTTGTGTTAGTGAGTTTTCCATACACTTTTAACTTTGGTATTTTATTTTTTTGACTTATTCGTTTATAAAATAATTTAGATAATAGTGTCTTGTCTTATTAAATACATTTTAAATCATATATTTATATATTTACCAAGTACTATGCTGTATGAGTTTTAGACCATCGATAAATATTGTTTGTGCCGTGTAATATTTGAGTTGAAAATTTTCTTTTCTATAGTATTATGTTAAAATTTTCTTATTAGCTTCGTCATATGTTTAAAATTTTACATCTGACCACATTATGGGGTAAATTATTAAAAAAAAATTTTGCATTTTAATTTTTTTTTTTTTGAAAAAAGCAGCATTTTTTTTATTACATTTCATGTTTATAAAGTATAATGTTAAAATTTTCACATTAGCTTCGTCATATGTTTATAATTTTACATCTGACCACATTGTGGGGTAAATTAATAATAAAAAATTTGCATTTTCATTTTTATTTATTTTATTTTTTTTTTTTTGAAAAAAAGCAGCATTTTTTATTACATTTCATGTTTATATAGTATAATGTTAAAATTTTCCCATTAGCTTCTTCATATGTTTATAATTTTACATCTGACCACATTATGGGATAAATTAATTAAAAAAAATTTGCATTTTCATCTTTTTTTTGTTGAAAAAAGCAGCATTTTTTTATTACATTTCATGTTAGACATATTTCTATGAGCTTATTTCTGTATCGTGAACAAAAAATAAGAAAACAGTGAGAAACTTTAAAAAAAAAAAAAAAAGATAAGAAACCAACTTGAAAGGTATAACCCCCAGGTAAGCATATAAAAGTTTTTTTTTAAAGAAAAACTTTTGCAAGTTTAAAATCCATTTGACACCAGAAAATGATACAGAAATATCCCCTCTGAGTACCTACCTCATGTTTTTCCTCATTTGCTTCATTTTTTATATTTAAATATTTTTTATCAAATTAGGAATTTTGAAAAACAAATTGACTTTTTCGTACAATATTGCAATTTTTTTTTTCTTCGTAAAAGGACAGGGAGCTTTAGAAAATGAACTACTTGTTGTTGTAGCTCTCAATTTCTGATGAAAATGGCTTCAAAAAAATAGGACAGGGGTGATTGTGATCCAGAAAAAATCCGGATTTCCGGAATTTTCACTAACAGTGATCTGGAAATTTCCGGAGATCGAAGGTCCAGACGTTTCAAAATATCATTTATCACAGAAGTTTCTGGAAATCAAATTTTCAAAGGTGGAACTTAAAAACACAGTTTATTTTATTTGTTTGTAAGGGAGAGCCAGAGAGAAACTTTATAAGCTTATATTCATGATTTATATTCATTTTTTATCAGTAAATAGTTGTTATAATCATAAACTCAAGAAAGAAAGACATATTTGTAAATTTTAATTACTTCTCCAGGTCATCATAACTATGTGTAAATGGTATAGGTATGTGTAAAATTTTAAATATATTTTAAGTAAACTAAGAAATATAGGAAAAAAAACCTTGTTTAAATTTTTTTCATTTTAAACTGTTTTTTGTTTTTTTTTTAACTGAAAAAATTTTCCGGAATTTTGACTTGGGCTCACAATCACCCCTGATAGGAGCTCTATGATGATTGTTTGAAATAGGGGCGTCTCACAGGGCTGATTATATTCTGTGTGTACCCCGAAATTCTGGTTTTTTCATATCCCTGCAAGTTTAGGAGCAGGGCATGTGATTTTTTTCTCAGAGTTCCTCGTACCTCAAGACCATTGATTCCTGGACTTCCTCAAATCAAAACTTATATTCGAACAAAATTTTCACTGCAGTCTAAAATTTAAATTCTGAAACTTTCGCTAAATAGAGTTAACAAGAAGTTATCATACATGTGACTCTTCTGCAATTTTGATTTTTTTTCTTTTGGTTGGTCAGACTTTATTGTTCTTTATATTTGAAACAATGCCGAAATCCGCTAATATCGTTATTTATATTCAAGCGATTTTAATTTGGATATTCGTATTTACCTAATTTAAAAGATACTCATTGTGTATCATATTCACGCAAATTAATAATTGTACATTATGATTTGTATTCTCGTAATTTATATTTAAATGGTTTTGAACCCAACTTCGTGATTTACTTTCATTCTAGCTTAATCCAATGTTGCTATTCATATTCACGGGATTTGAAAACCGTGCCTTGCAAGTCGTGTTTACACGATTCGGAGAAAGTCCAATTTTAAAATCATTTGTCACAATCTTTGTAAGGACAAAGTTTTTTCAAGGTTTTTTTCTTAAGTTAATTAGTATAAATGTGTGATATTCTTTATGCTTAGGCAGTTTAATTAAATTATGAATCTTAGTTCAGAAAATTTTAATTGTGAATAGTATAGAAATTTATTTCTTGTTATTGAGTATTTGCACATGAAATTTTCAGGGTGTGGCAAGAAGAGGATAAGATTTGTTAAGGAAGATATGAGAGGTTTGCTTAATGATATTGGACTATTTTAGTCATTGCTGTTTAAAAATTATAAATGATGGTATAATAGTGCTCAATTTAATCTGCGTTTTCTAAATGAAAAAAGGGAGAGAAAATCAAATTTTGAATTTATGCCGTATGGCCAAACATAATTTGTCGAATAGATAAGATCTTTGGGAGGCCGTTGTGACCTCCTATCCCGGCACCCCTGTTCTTAGCATCAATATTTTTCTACTGATCTGTTTGAAAAAGTAAAAATTTCTTTTTATAGTAAATCATTGTTGTATAGAGTTAAAATAGTAAATAAAATTTGTCAAAATAGAAAAATATTGGTTTTAAAGTTAAATGATTATTGAGTTTACGAGGTAACTGAAAAACAGGAATTTTTATGTTACTATTTATTTTAGCAATATTTAAGAATAAACTTTAAAGTTCAGTAATGAAATTTCCCATAAGCTTCGTCAAACGTTTATAATTTTACTTTTGACCACATTATTCGATAAAACAATAGAAAAATTTTTTTGCATGTTTATTTCATTTTTGAAGTAGTCAGTTTCTCTTTTGACAATTTTGTTTTTGGTTAAAGTTTTTTAAAACATTTATTTTTCTGTGTATAGATTTATACTGTAGCTAAGTATTTAAGTTGGTAAGAAAGCATTACCATAATTTTGTGGAGATATGCTGCCGCATGCTTATGAGTTAAAAAATTGAATTTTGGTATGTGCAGCATATCTAATGGGGTGGCTTATCAGTTTTTTAAAAAAAAATTCTTTTTAATAGAGCTTGAACATTTTTCTTCTTCATTAAATTGATTTTCCAATATTTCATTATTACAAGAATGTAACAATAGCGCAACTGACACTCTTAACTTTCAACTGAAGCTGTTGACAAATTCCCCTCTTGCAATCACACATTAATGAAAGTATCATTCCTCTATCTTCTGCTACGTGTGCGTAGAGGAAAAAAAGTGAAAGAAATTTCTGCTAGACTTTCTCTTAAACGAATGAGTGTGTAGGAAGGAGATTGCTGAAATGATCTATCTTGACAGTCAAGTTTATCCCCATTTTCACTTTATTATTTAACTCTAGGAAATATACGATTTCAAAATTTAAAGTAAAATGATGTTGAGCATGTGGATAGAAGAATAATGCATGAACTGTTTTATTTGTTCTATATTTAACGTTTATATGAATTTTTAACTGTTTAATCATTTGATTTATTTATAACTAGCATATTTTAAATTAATTATTGTATTAATAAATGAAATAATGAGTTCCCGATCATTTTATGCTCTTATTTATATCTGTATTTTATGCTCTAATTTATATATAATATATTTTAAAAATTATTTTAAAGGTTTTTAGCTGTTTAACATTTGATAGATCGAAATTTAAAAAAGAAACAATGCTATAAGTACAATTTTGCTCCTATTAAGATTCTTTTCAAACTTTTTTTGAAGTTTGATAACTTATTATATTTATTCTTAATCACTTGGTTTAAAAATTCAAGTATTTTAAATTGATATTTATTAGCATAATGCAATAGCAATTGTGTTGCATTAAAAATGTGCATGGTGCAATTTTATGTACACTTGAAAAGTTATGATAAAAATGATCAAAATACATAATTTCTGATTTTAAGTAAGATCATATTTATTTATTGTATATTTAATAATTATTTTTAATCAATTATATTGTGTGTAACTTGTTATTTTAAACATATGCGTTAAGTCCGTGATTAATCACACATTTAAATTTTGTGTGGCGTATCAGACAGTGGGGCCTTTTTGATGAAAAAATTTATATATATGTTTTTTTTTTATAGGGTTGCTAAAGATTATGCAAGACTGCTTAAATATGGAGATTCACTCTATAGATGTAAACTTCTTAAAAAGGCAGCTCTTGGAAGGTGAGTCCCAATGAACAGAAAAACTGCTACTAAACAAAATATACTTGTCAGTTCAGGACCTAATGTTGATGACCGCTTTTCCGAGTTGTCGCTGTTGTCTTGAAACCTATAAATATTTTTTCAGAAACCTCATATCTTGATACAAATTTTATATACATTATTTAATTTATCTTAATGTTCATTATTCTTGAAAGAATATCAATATAATTTTAGTTGCAATCATTTTAAAATATTGTATACTTAGATGTATTGTATAGTTTTTAATGTATTTACAGAATGGCAACTATAATACGAGCACAAAATAAAAATCTTGCTTACTTAGAAGAAGTGAGACAGCATATATCTCGTTTACCATCCATAGATCCAAATACAAGAACATTACTTATATGTGGGTTTCCAAATGTCGGAAAATCAAGTTTTATTAATAAGGTAACCTGTTTTGCTTTACAATGTATTATTTTTATTTTTGTAAGAAATTGGACAATATTTCTTAAATTCCAATTTTAAAGTTTAGTTTAAAAATGTCATTGTAAAATTGGTTTGGCTGTAGTGTTGACGCATTATCGAATTTTAAAATAAAAATATGAAGTATAAGACATAAAAGCATAGTCAAAAAATGAAGTTATAAATAATTATTAGGTAATTACTAATCGTAATTTCAATATATATATATGTATATATAAGTACAAATTTCCTATACATGTTTTACTGTATTTTAAAATATATTGGATTACAATTACCAAATACATACTTATTCTCAAATAAGATGTCAAGCTGTATTTCCATGGAAAAAAATCTACTTATTTAATGCCTAAAGCTGCACAAGGCATAAGAAACTGCAAGTAATATTTACTAAAAGTTACTAAACTAGATAAAACCTCTATTAAAATAAAACAATGTTCATAGTGTGTTATTTTGCTTTTCCATGTAAAAATTGTACACGTTGTCTGCCATCTTATGTTTTTAATAACTATGATGCTTCGTACGCGTGTTAAATTAATATTGAAATATAACCAATTATAATCAAGAATATAGTATCTTGATTCTGGTTGATTTCATATACTCTTTTGTTAGATAATGATTTAATTTTTTATTAAAAATTTTCATTAAAAACATTCAAGGTTTTTGTTATATTGTTAATATGAAGGTAAAATTAGGTACCTCATAATCACAAAATAACATAGCAAAACGATAATGATTTATTCCCTTTAATGTTCTAATGTGAAATGCATTGTATATTATTTATTGTTACATAATTTTTAATGTTATGCAGAAATAGTCTTAATTATTGATAACTTAAATGTTTTCTTTTAGATAACTCGAGCAGAAGTTGATGTTCAGCCATATGCTTTTACTACTAAGTCTCTCTTTGTTGGACATACTGATTATAAATATTTGAGATGGCAGGTATTTCTTTTATTGACTTATACAATGTTGTTTACTCATTATCAAATGTATTATTTTCTTTTTATATTTTTTATTGAGTTTGATGCTTCTTCATTTCTTTGTCTGAAACTCTGCGAAGTTAATAAGCATACTCTTCAGAAGAGTGTTACTTTTATCACCTTCTTCGAATAAATAAAATTACATTCCTAAAATTGTAAAAAGTTTATATGATTTTAGGGACCATCCATAAATTGTACAAAAGTTACTGAAGTATCATTCTGACAATTTTATTTTTAAATTTTTAGGACAATATAAGTTATATTATAAAAATAAATAACTAATGAAATTTTATAAAAATAAATTGGTCATATATTTTTAGAAAATGATAGCAAATATCTTTTTGATAATTAGTTGCTCCAAATATTTAAATTTAATTATTTTTTATCCAGTTAACAATTCAATACAGGCAGAATTTTAAAAAATGGTCATCTGAGGGATGATTCATTAATATTTTTAAAATGCTTAGTTATGTTTAAAATTAGAAAAGCATTATTTCAAAGTATTTGGTTCTAATCAAAGATTAAAAATAAAAATCTATATTATGATTTTTAAACATAATCTTAAATCTTTAGATTAGCTTTTAGTAATGCCATTTTTGAGTTCATGAAAAGCAACATTTTCTTATAGTTTTATAACTTTAATACTTTAATGTTCACTGATTTGAGAAAGCATGTTTCTAAAATTTTATATTTACCACACACAATTCTACCCTTTTTTTATGTATAGTGTGCCAAAAGGAAAATTGGACCTCCCTGAATAACTTTTTAATCTTGTGTTCACACATTGTGATGTTCACATTCTAGAACTTAATCTTATTGGTCCAAAGGGGTGACTCCAAATATACCAAATGAGTGCAGACGATATTTTCAGTTACGAAAACAGGCAGACAAACATACTTTATCTGAATAAAGACACCTTTTGACAAATTCAGATTTTCGACCCCAAAAACATAGGGGGTAACTGCTATCCGGGAAATATAGTTCCCATACTTAGGTCGGAACAGCTGTCCAAAGTTTAGACTCCTAAATGGTTAATTATACTTTTTGCTTTTTTTCCCATATCTCTTGAATATTTTAAGCGAATTGAAAGTCTGTGCACAATTATAAATCTCATTTTTCCTAAAATAATGCCATGCAAACAATAAATTTTGCTAAGTATTTATTTATTTCATAATAGTCAAAAAATTTTAAAATAACTAAATTTACATGGCAAAATACAAATTTTGAGTGAAATTAGTTGAATAGTTCCTGAGAAATGCAAATGTTATAACAGGGTGCGTAGCGTTTGTAAAAAGTACTTAAAGGTGCTTTTTTGGGGATTTTTAAAAGCTTTTAAAGGTGCTTTTTTCAGCTGGCTTTTTTAAAAAGTGCTTTTTTTTTTCGAATATTTTTTTCCCCCTTCAGTGATATCTGGTGGATCCCATGCATTTCACGAAAAAATGGGGTGTGTTGCTACGTAATCATTCACACAGACTTCATGTCGTACCCACGTTATGACTTGCGCATGCGCGCGCACCGAACCGAAACCCGAGTGCTTCAATTCGGATAGAGAATATCAGATCCTTATGAAATGTTTTTCTTTTTAATTTATTTTAATTTTGTTCTTGTTTATTTTATTTTACTTCTAACACTTTTTTTGACGTAGGGGGTAAGGGTACTTTTGTTCTGAGTTCAGGGTCAAGTTGAATTCACTTGGTGATGTGGGAAAGTACTGATTGTTTCGATTTACGCCCGTTTCTTTCTTTCTTTTTTTTTTAGCGCTAAAACTGTTTATAAAAAGTTTTTGTTTTTCCATAATATCATTGATTGAATATGAATTTTTTGAGTGCTTGAAAACTTTTGTAAAGTGCTTGAAAAGTTTTTAAAAAGTGCTTATTTTTGATTCAGAGATTTGGCTACGCACCCTGTATAAAATTTGTATATTTAAGAGCCAATTTCTCGGGAATTACTTACTGATTTCGCTTGAATTTCATATTTCACCATGTAAAATTATCTATTTAAAATGATGCAATGAATAGCATACCTTACAATTCCGAATTTTTACAATTATTATTAAGTAAAAAAATGTACTAAAACTTGTTTATCCAAAAATTAATTCATGCATAAAATGAATTTTATAACTATGTTAAAAAGATTAGAAAGTTCTCGAGATATGGCGAAATATGCAAAAAAAAAATTTACATTAAGGTCCAAACTTAAGATTTCTCTCCAAGCCAAACTATTAGGACCATATTTTCCAGATTGCGACTACCCCTATATTTTAGTTTTCAAAAATCCGAATCCATTGTAAAAGGCATGTTTATTTAAAGGGGTATGTTTTTGTGATTTCCTATTGTAAAATATAGTCTGTTCTAATCATATTTGAGGTCACCTCCTCAAATCGTGAAGATTGAGTACTAGAAGTGAAGATCCGACTATAAGAATTAGAAAGTAGGCTACGTTTTGTAAAAAGTTATTTGTGTGTTCTTCTAAAATATTGCCTTTCTTAGATAAGATATTTTTAGATCATTGTTAATACTGATGTCTCAATATGTACGCCTTTGAAAATTGTCATATTTATTCTAAATATTCTAGATCTAGAATATATAAATATATTACTTGCAGGTTATTGACACCCCTGGTATTCTCGATCACCCACTTGAAGATAGAAATACAATTGAAATGCAAGCTATCACTGCTCTAGCTCATTTGAGAGCATGTGTAATTTTCATTATTGATCCCTCTGAACAGTGTAATCATTCAATTGAGGAACAGGTAAATATTTCCCTTACATCATGTTTCAGATTGTTATACTAAAACTTATTAATATTACTTGCAAATTGATAAAAATTCAAAAAATTTGTATTGTTATTTGGAGACTATTGTATTGTTATTTGGAGATAACTATTTTATATATGTACTTGTTAGTTGAGAGACAAATGAATAAATAAGATTCGATTGCAAATAGCAATTTTAATAAAAAAATTTAGTTGTCATTGTTAGTGTTTTTTCTTTCTCCAATGCCCATCTGGAGAATGACCTTTCATCATACAGGCATCTGAAGGGCACATTTGTTGGCCACTCTTCAAGGGCATCATATTAGGTGGGCCAACATTGCTCTCACAGTAAGGACAGATAGTACAGAGAAAGATAGAACATTCATGCCTTGCCCGGGATTCGAATCTAGAACCTTTCTGATTCAAGGCCAGTTCCCTCTTCCCGACACAGGCCGGTGGCATCATTATTAGTGTTGTATGATCGTTAACCTTGCCCAAATAGCAGCTATATATTGTTCCCTTACTTTCAAAATTTTTAATTATTAAAAAAATTGTACACAGTAGCAATATTTTAACACTAACTGTTTAGTGTAACTAAACTTATTTTTTTAGTCTCTCCAATTAATTTAAAATTTTGTTTGATCTTTTTTTTCCAGATATCTCTTTTCAACAGTTTGAAACCCCTGTTTCTGAATAAGGTAATTTGACATTTTTTTTTGTTTATTTTGTATTTGCCTATATTGCAAGAAAAGATTAAAATTTATTAAATTCTTATAATTAAAGATTTTTGATTTTATTTTATAATTTCGTTATGTTTTTCAGCCTACAATACTTGTTGCAAATAAGAGTGATATCATTAAAGTGAATGAGCTTCCTGAAGAAAAACAGGTAACTTCATTTCTTAAAATATATTCTGAACTATTGCTGCAAATAAATGGAACTGATTTGTTGTGCATCTGCACCCAATTGATACACACTGAAGTTACTCATTTTCAGAACATGTATCCTATTTCTTTACTTCAAAATCCTTGAAATTATACCAATCTTTAATCAGCAAATGAACAGCTATAAAAAATTATCTCAACAGTCATTAAGTCTTTTCACTTGCAACAAATTGACATATTTGCCAAGCTCTATTCAATGCAAACAATCTAATTAAAATTAATTTCTCACTTCGACGTACTTGCATCACTTCAAAATTAATTTAAACATTCTTAATTTATCCAGGAAGTGTAGATAGATAAAACATTCGGACTATTTGTGCCTGGTAATTGAATGTGGTATATAATAAATATGGTATAAAGAAAAAGAAAACGAAGGAAATAAAAATGAAAATATGACCACCGAAGCCGACGTCTTCAGGGGGTTTTGTTTTTATGACCCCAGTAGCCATAAAAACAAAACCATTTCTAATTGAGGGAGAAGCAAATGCTTAAATTAACTCCCTCAGTACCCCGATGGTTTTGCATAGAAGTCCAGGAAAAAAAACATGCAATATAAATAACAAATTAAGAAAAAAAACTCAAACAAAATCATCAGAAAAATAAAAACTCACATATTCACAGGTCAGACATCAATTTCTCAAGCAAGCCGAATGAAAAGAAAAAACTAAAACCTAAAGAAAACAACGCCCTCTATTACAATGCGCAAATGAAAAAAAAAAAAGTGAAAAATGTCAAGAGAAAGAAATACGTAATAAATTAATAGAATGCTTAACTGGGGCTGCTCAGTTAAGACTTGAATTGCGCCCTGTTAAAAGAAAAAAATATAAAAACCTAGAATTCTTCAATCATTTTTTTAATTAAAAAATTAACATTACAAAAATTAAAAGGAAAATCATTATTACTCAAATTATTTAAAAAACTATTCACAGCTTCCTGAAAATTTTCAACATTATTGCAAATACTTTTGATTCTAACCAATTGTGAAAAAACTAAATTTTTAAATATTTTATTACACAAATTAGTATTAAAGTTGCAGAAAAAAATAGCTTTAAATTTAAAAGCTTTTCTTTTATCAAAGACACCAATTTTAATAAGCTGTTAACAATATCAATTTTAAAATCACAATCAATTTCATTTTTATTTCCTTCATTTTCTTTATTGCTACTTTTTTCTGAAATTTCTGCTGCTTTTTAGCGCATTTTTTTCAAAGAAGTTTTTTCTATTTAGAATTAAAAATATTTGTGTTTTCTTTTAGTATGGTATAGTATACTCACAATGATGCTCTGCATTTTAAAGTTAACATAGAAATCCGCATGCTAATCAAAGCAGTCCCCTCCCCCATTCTCTGTCATTACATCAACACTTATTTGAATACATACATACACATTAACAGTTATTATCACTGATGTTGGTGAGAGAAAAAAAAAAGGGATCTTAAATAGCTGAATACTCAACACATACTGGTGCATAATTAACTAATCTTAGCCAATTGAACTAATTTACTTGTTCAAAAATTTATTTTAAACAAGTTTTTCTAAACTAATTGTCCTATCTTTTCATTTCATTCTATTTTTATATTTTTTTTTTAGAAAGCTATTTCAAATGTAACTGAAGAAGTAATAGAGATGAGTACATTGACTGGAGATGGTGTTATTGAATTAAAAAATTTAGCTTGTGATAGGCTGTTAGAACATCGTGTAGAAGTTAAGAATAAAAGCAACAAAACATCTAAAATTATGAATCGACTAGAAATTGCAATTCCTGTTCCCAGAGATAATAAGGTAATCTACTTTTTATTTTTTCTTTTGCAAAAGACTTAAATGCTTTTAAAGTATTTATTTATACTGTTTAAGTCTCCTTAAACTTCTTGGTTTTATGAGTTTTCAATATAAAATGTTTTCTTTTAGCATCGATTACCTTTCATTCCTGAAAAAGTTGTCCAGAAAAAGCAACAGATGGAAACTGACCAAAAGAAAAAGCTTGTAAGTTTAGTTGGTGCTTTTCTAAATAACTTAATGAATTCTTATACATTACTATGATGCCAGACGTTTATTTATTTTTTCAAATTACTTATTTATTATAATTTTACCTTTGCAGTATTAATATTATTAAACATGGCTCTAAATTATATATTTATTTAATTTAAAAAGAATTATACTTATAAGTGAGAAAAAAAATCTGTTGCTTAATAAGTCCCAGATCACTTGCATTTATGCCAGTCTGCAGTTTTTTCATGAAGTTTGTTTTAAATAAAATTTAGTTATTTTATTATACAAATTTTCTAAATCTTTTCAATACAGCACTTACAGTTTTAAAATTTAATCCAACTGTTTATCCATGTTTATGTTGAAATAATTCAATAAAAAATAGTCTTATGATTGCTTTAATTCAAATAGATGACTAGTTTAGTGAACTGGTCAGAATGTTGAATTTGAATGAGAAAATAAATAATACCTATGGAGAATAAATAAACTTAAATTTCTTTTGTCTCTTGTTGGTGTTGATAACAACAGCAGTTCTGTACTGTGTAGACATTCATAATGCAAAAAAATATAAAGCTTTTAGATTAGACTCTAATTTTCTAAGAGAAAACTGTAAAGTGTAATGAAATTTTCTTTTTTAGATTCATTTAACATAAAATTCTGATATGTTACTTGAATTTGCAATAATATTCCATTTTTGCTTGTAGGAGAGAGATCTTGAAGAGGAATTAGGGGATGATTATATTTTAGATCTCAAAAGTAAGTTGGATTTTATTCAATTCCACTGTTTTTCTTTTATTAATTAATTTTTTTATCTTAAATAACAAAAATGTTTGTTTTTAGAAAATTATGTAATAGAGGATGATCAGAAGTATGATATTATCCCTGAATTGTGGGAAGGTCATAACGTTGCCGATTATATTGATCCAGACATAATAGAGGTAAGCATTTAATGCCATTTTCTTGTACATATTAAAAAGGATTGATATAATTATTTTGCTATATAAATTTGTTTTTAAGTTGCAATGTTAATCAATAAAAAATAATTTGATGTTTTACTGAAAATTGTTTGCAGACATAGCACCATTTCATTATTTTCTGAAAGGTTTTATGATTTTAGCACAGATTAGAACTTGTTATGCTGATATCAGGTGTCAAAATTGTGCCACATTATTATAGAAATAACAACCGCAAGTTATGTGTCAAATAACTTGATCATATTTCTCACAATTAATAGATATACATTTTTTCTTTGGTCATAGATATATATAGTTAAGGAAGTTTAATAAATGTTCAATATCAATAAATAAAAAATTAAATCTATATTTCTGATCCTTTGAATTCTTTTAAATGTAAGCTGTTTAAACATATAAATATCTATATCAATGGGTATTTTGTAATGAATTAAGTTACTTTTTTTCTGTATCATGAGAAATCTATCATTTTTTCATATGATTCAGGAAAATTAAGATTTCATATTCGATTATAATCAAATCCATTTATTCTGGTTCTTAGTTTTTTTGACTGCTATCTGAGAGTGAATGAGTGATAAAAAAATTCTGAAATAACATATCTAATTTATGTGGATAATTGTATTATTTTGTAATGATAAATGAAATATTGTTGTATTCAGGCATAATATTTCCCAAATTTTTTTTATCATCTTCTGATTTTATATGCATATGTGTGTGTGGAGGATAGTGAAAATTAATTTACTTTGCTGAAATTTTTTTATTGTATGCTTTTTAAAATTTATATGGTTCTGACAACTTGTATTTTTTATTGTGGTTCATTAGAGGATCATTTTCAAATTTAATCTAGGGTTATTCCTTTAAGTTTATATTTGATGCAACCAGTTGCCCGTGCAGAAACGAACGTTATAATATGTTGCTTCTGATACATAGAGATACTATAAATACTTACTCATATGTGAGAAATAGACTAATTTTAACCATTACTTTAATATGAAATAAAGTACTAACATAATTTATAACAAGTAAACTAAATTATCATTATTTAAATTTTTTTTTTCAAAAAGAGTATACTTAAAACAGGCAGTGTTTTTAAGGGATGGCGGTTCATTTTTACAAACAAGGCACATTAGAAGGCAGGAAGGGTGGGTCACTCCTCTAAAAACTCTTCTGGATAACATTGTAGTATTAAATTTTATACTTTTCACCTCATGAAGCAGGACTTGTAACTTAATGTTAGTTAACAGTTGTTTTGGTCACAGAATGGTATTTTAATTTATTCTCATCACTTTGTTTTCTTTCAATTTTCATTTCATACGTTTTTATTCTTTTTCGTTTTTGCAATGTTATGCCAGAATATTATGATGACTTTGTTATCCCTAACTGAAAGTTATTGAATGATACTATGTTCTGAAAGCAAATGCATTACATATTATTGTTATGAGAAGTGTCTGTTTTAACAAGATTTTCTGTTTAAACAAAACTTAAATCCATATTCCTTAGTGATGAGCTTGTTATCCCTACCCATGGGTGCAAGTCTTCCGTCCCCAGGACGGATTTCCGTCTTTCAAAAATGTCTGAGGACGGAAGTAAGACGGAAACAAGACTTACTCGAAGACTGAAAACGGAATTTTTTTTTTCCTGTCCTTAAAAATATTTTTTAGGTCTACGTTATTGGTCTACTTTCTTATGTCATGTTGTTATTTTGTCAAAAGAGAAATGAATAAATATTTTTTGTACAGTATTTAAACTTATGTATTATGGCAAAGCTTTCTTAGATATTTTGCATATGTCGAAGGGGTATTGTGTATGTTCGGTATTTCAGTCTTAGCCTTTTTTCCAACTTGCACCCATGTCCCTACCTGATAGTTAATGAATGATGCTGTGCTCTGAACATGTAGTGTGATAATTTGCATTTCCTCTCATTTGCAATGAATTGTTGCAATCGAAAATTTTATGTTTTTATGCATTTATTTTTTTATTGGACAAAAACTTATTGTTCTTCCAGTTTGTTTTCTGTAAATAGTGGTCCTAACTCTAAGGAACCATAGTGGTCTTTTTTCTTCATAAATTTGTTTTTTTTATAAAGAGTGATACTGTTTAAGGATTAGGTATAGTTAATAATACTCAGTGCATTGAACTGTTACTTGTGTACTCTTTCACTCTCGTTAATATCTGATATCAATGACCTGATTATTTTATGATGAATTTGTTATCCCTAACTGAACATCCATGAAAGATAAAATATTCTGAAGCTGTTTTTTTTCTTCTTTTTTTTTCTCTTTACACTTTTTATTTAAATTTCTGATGTAGGAAGTTTTTCTTGCTACATTATATTTTTGACGTAACATATTTTTCAAGTGATATGTGCTTGCATTAGAAATAATTGTTCTTTTCTTGATTTCCATGTTTCTGTAATATGTTGCAAAAACATAAATACTGGAATATTTACTTTTAAAAACATTGCATTTTTTTCTCTGATAGCTTTAAAATAAACTTTTTTTTAATGCAATCTCTTCATGCATAAAGGTAATACTCGTCATTATTTGATACTCATCATTATTTAAAATTTTCCATTTGATATTAAAGTTGCTAATGTAATTAATTCTAAATTTTACTGTATTTTTGTGTGCAAGTCTTTTTACTGCATAGCATATATTAGAGCCTGTTATTTAATACTTAGATAGCAGGTGTCGAAATTGTGCTAAAGAAACGCTAGCTATTTTATTCATTGGTTGCAGGATTTTCATTCCAGTGACTATATAAAAGCTGTACAGTAATTCTTATTATTTCACACAATGATACATTCATCGTTCCTATTTTAAAGTTAGTGGAATAAGCTTTAATTAATTTTATTTTGCAAAATTGTTTTAAAAAATTGTTCATAGAAAATTTTATTTAAAAAAATTTCTTCATAAATTTTTTTCGATGTATGCTTATTTATAGACTCTCACCTACCACTCTGTTTAGAAGTTATAAATAAGTGTTAATTTTTTAATTATCATTTTAAAAATTGTTAGTCTTACAAGTTTTGACAACGAAAACAAATGAAGTGCTATTTTTGTTCATTGTAATGCATGTATTAGAGCCTGTTAATTAATACCTAAATTGCAGGTGTCGTTAACGTGCTAGAAAAACGCTAGTTAATTTGATGTTGATTACAGGATTTTCATTCCAGCTATCATTCAAAGGCTATACAGAAATTATTTCACCAATACAATTTTTATGCATGTATTAGAGCCTGTTATTTAATACCTAAATTGCAGGTGTCGTTAACATGCTATAAAAACGCTAGTTAATTTTATGTTGATTACAGGATTTTCATTCCAGCTACCATTCAAAAGTTATACAGAAATTATTTCACCAATACAATTTGTATGCATGTATTAGAGCCTGTTATTTAATACCTAAATTGCAGGTGTCGTTAACATGCTATAAAAACGCTAGTTAATTTGATGTTGATTACAGGATTTTCATTCCAGCTATCATTCAAAAGCTATACAGAAATTATTTCCCCAATACAATTTTTATGTTTATTGTTTTTAATTGAGCTTATAAAATATGACTTATGTTTCTTTTAATTTTATTTTTCTTATCTAATGACATAACTTTTTTCATAATTAATAATTTTCAGATATTGTGGTTTTTCTTATAGTACTAGTTTTATGATGAATTTTGTTATCCCTAACTGAAATTACATGAAAGATACAATATTCTGAATTAAGATCATTTTTATGCTCTCTCTGTTAGTTGTGATAGTTTATTTTCTAATTTTTTTTAGATGATTGTCAAATTCTTATGCAGGAAAATAATTGATAAGAGTGTGCAGTGATATAAATTATATTCTTTATTTATGATGATTTTGTTATCCCTAACTGATCTTACATGAAAGATAAAATATTCTGAAGTTATATCATTTTTATACTTTGATTGTGATTATAGTTGCTTTTTTTATATTGGTGAGTTCTAATCATAAACTATTGAGAAATGCCTTAAATAATAATTTCAGATTCTAATTTTTTCAATTAAGGAAAATGAGTGAAGTATAAAAATCTTTTTCTAGGAAAGAAATATAGTATATAATTATGTAAAATTAATGACTAAGTAATGTGAATTTTATTCTTTACACAATTTTAGAAGAAGAAAAAAAATTCGGACATGTTATAAAGTTATTTAACTTCTATGCCTTGTCTGTTGGTTGTAATAATTTATTTTCCAAATTTTTTTTTTGTTGATTGTCAAATTTTTATCATGCACCAAAATTACTGATAAGAGTTTGTAATAATATAAATTATGATGAATTTGTTATCCCTAACTGATCTTGCATGAAAGACAAAATATTCTGCAGTTACATCATTTTTATGCTTTGGAATGATTGTGATTAATTTTTTTTTCTTTTACATTGGTGCATTCTAATCATAAATTAGTGAGAAATGCCTCAAATAATAATTTTAGATGTAATTTTTTAACTTTAAAAAATGAGTATGAAGTGATATAAATTTTATTATTTATTTATGATGAATTTGTTATCCCTAACTGATTTAGCATGAAGGATAAAATATTCTGAAATTAAATCATTTTTATGCTTTGTGATAACTGTGGTCATATTTTTATTAAATCTTATTTGTAAGTTCTAATCGTAAATTAATGAGGATTGTGAAGTAATATTAATTTTATAAAATATTTTGTTACTTTTAAAGAAAATAAATGTATGAAATTAATATTCTATTAATTGTGCAAAATATACAAAATCCCTGTTAAAGAAATAATAAAGTAGTATATTATAATGTAAAACTAATGACAACATTGATAAAGGTAATAATTTATTCTTTAAAATTTTTCTTATTTCTACGATTATTATTTCTTATTTGTACAATTATTTCTAGTCTTCAGTCCTGAGGACTGAAATCAGTTATGAAAAAAGATCAGTGAACTGAATTGTGTCCTCTAATATTTATTTCCAGTTTGTT